CTCGAACAGGTCACACTGCCGTGCTGGGATAGAGCCAGGATGTCAACCCAGGCGTCTTGCTCTGAGTCCCTGCTCTATAAACTGTTTCCATAAAGGGCTGGATGTTAAATCTTTCAGGCGCTGCAGGCCATAGGGGGTCTGTCGCAGCCACTCCACTCGACCTTTGCAAAGCAGCCATAGACAATGCAGAGACAAACAGGTCTGCCTTCGTTCCTGCAAAACCTTATTTAAAAACACTGAAATCCAAATTTTATACAGTGTTTGCATCACAAATAATTTTTTTGATTGTTTTCAACTATTTAAGAAGTGAAAAACCATCCTTAGCTCAAAGGCCACATGAAAGGAGTTACTGGGCTGGATTTGGCCTGGGAGCTTCAGTGTGCAGAGCCTTATCCTAAGCTACATCACCCCTCACTACATAAACTGTTATATGAAAAATGCCTGAACAGTGACTGGCACAGACTAGGTGGTCAACAAATGTTCATTCCCTTTCCCTCCCCTAATCGTTCTCCCTCTTAACTCCTATCAGCCCAGAAAATGGCTATTTCATGCTGTGCCCAGCAGAACAAAGATCTGGGATTGAGCAAGGTGGGCTTGCACCCTCCTCAGTTAACAGCCCTGTCAGCTCCAAAGCGGAAGAGAATCTGGGAGTTTTAGGTCAGTGTGTCTTAAACTTGAATGAGCATGTATCCGGGGGTCGGTCTGCGGTGAGGCCTGAGATTCTTGCCTTTCTAACAAGCTCCTGAGGGAGTCCGATGCTGCTGGTGGGCTGGGTCACCTCTGAGCAGCCAGCTTCTAGGGCAAATCCTTTCTATCTAAGAACACAAGTGAGACAAGTCAGACGCTGCACCCTGACTTTGGGTTTAGAAGTGCCCTCAGGCTGGACTGAGTGATCCCCTGGAGACAGGTTAGGGGTGAGGACAAATAATGAGGTCCCCTCTCCAAGGACAGCCTGCAGTGACTTAAACTGAAGGGGGCAGAGATCAAGAGCAGGCAGATGGAGGATGGATCCAAGGCAGTCTGTGGCTTTCAGCAAGAGCAGACCTCCTTTGGGTGCTGGAAGACAGGAGCCCCTCCTCCCACACTTGCCAGGACTATGATGGACCGAAGCAAGAGGCCTATTTCCTCATCGGGCCTCTGAATAACTAGGGCACTTCCACAAGGTCACAGTTATTCATTTAAATTCTAGCTCTAATCAGCAGGCAGAGCCTGAGAAATTATTTCTTCTGAGAAGAGAGGCTGTCATTGGAGCATCATAAACAGCCCCTTCTGTCTGGAGAGGGAAGCTGGGGGGAGGGGAAAGAAGGGGTCTCATAGCCACAGGCCCAGAGCTAGCCTCCAAATCCTTCCTCTAACCACCCACTCCACCCCCACCTACAAATGGCTTGTTCTCCTCTTGGCTGAGAGTTCTGGAACATACTGGAAGAGGGCTGAAGGCTTGACACTATATAGCAGGGCTGGGACTGTCCCCTACTGCCTACAGCAGCCCAGGAGGCCAATGACAAATCCCAGTGGGCCAGGAGCATGAGACAAGTGCCAGACAGTAGTCCTTTCCAGGCCACAAATGGGTTCCATGGCCTTGGAGCTGTCACTTCTCCTCCCTGGGCCTCAGTTTTCTACTCTAGAAAGTCTTAGTGTTGCACCTCTTGGACCGAATACCCACTGAGCCCCAACATGTCTTGAGACCCTGAAGACTCACAATGCTCCTGGTGCTTGTGGTCACACTTTCTGCTCAACCAACATGTCTGAGGTCCTACCATGTGCTGTGTAGCATGTAAGCAAATGGGCAAGATGCACCCACAGCTCTGCCCTGGAAACACCAGGATTTCAGAGTAAAACAGCAGAGGCCGTGGAAGGAGACAAGCTTGAGATCCTGCTCTTATGCAGCAGCTAAGGATAGTGGGCAGATCCTCACCCTCTTTGAGACTCCTTTTCCTCTTCTGTAGAGAGGAGGGCAATACCTGTCCCCCAAAACGTCAAATCAGAGGATGTGCAAGAGGTGTCAAGTCTAAGTGCCCCTATCATCCTGCAAGTCAGCACTCTGAACCTCCTTCCCAATATCTAGAAAGAGGGGCTGTGGATTTTCCCACATGGAAGTCCAGTGACATATTGCTTGCCTCTTGTCTCCTGGGTGTCCAGGTCACCCTCTCCAAGTCCCCAGCCAATCTTCTAGATCTTGGGAAGGGCGCTGCCTGCCAGGCCCCATGTCTGACTGCGTTTTACAGTAGCATTACTCCTAACCAATCTCTACAGTTGCATTAGCTCACGAAACCCCCAATTTGTCTTCCTAAGCAGAAGGAAGAAAACATTAGAGAGCCACTAAACTCTTCTTATTTCAGAGCCACAGCCATGCTGGCTCTGGATTGCCTGGCCAGGGGCTCAGAAAGGTGGGAGGCTGCCCGCTAACCTCCACCAGGCCTAGGCAGCTCCGGCTGCCTCCTGCCATATTCAGGGCCACAGGAAAGGCTCTGAATTCATGATTTGCTTCAGGCTTAGAAACCATGAAAAAGTAAGGGTCAGTGGAGTGACAGGATTGGCAATCAACTTTTGACATCTCAAGGGCAGAAGGAAAAATGTAAGATTTAGAATTAGACTGGAATCCCCTCTTGGCCCTACCACTCAGTCACTCAGTGACATCAGCATATCACTTAACCTTCTGGCTTCAACTTCCTCAGCAGAAAAATAGAGCGCAGGTGACATACCTCAGAGGGTTATTAAGAGGATAAAATGAGGTAATGGCCGTGAAATTGGAATGGTGCTAGTTGTAGATGCTGTCATTTAAGGCAGGCTCACCCCCTGACCTCTACCCCTTTGAAGAGATGGAGAAGAACCCCTGGCCCACTGCATTTCACCCACCATGCTGTTGCACCCAGCACCAATGTGGCACCTTTGGGGGGATTAGGAAAAGGTAACCCATGGTCAGAGGCAACCCCATGAACACAGGCCTGGCAAGGGGAATGCAAGCTACAGAGGGCACAGTGTGCACAAGTCCACAAGGGGACCCTGCATCACATCTCTGCTGGCAACCATGAAGAGAAAGGGCTAAGCCAAGAGGCACTTTCACAAACCAAACTTGAAGTGTCAGCCTTCCTCCCTTACCTCCTTGTTGCATCCCAGAAAACATCACCTTAGCAGACAGGCCTTCTCTGACCACCCTCTGCAAATTAGCTACTTCATGTTTACCTCCTTCATTTTTCTCCACAGCCCTTATTACACACCACCTGGTACAATACATGTGTGATGTAGACACATAATATACATAATGTGTATGCATGTTGTGTATATGTGTATATGAAAATATGTACACATACAGGGTAGGGCAAAAGTAGGTGTAGATTTGTTGGTATGAAAATAATACAATAATTAATAAATAACACAACAATAAACTCTATGCTTCTCATAGTCACAACTCTACACCTACTTTTGCCCCACCCTGTATGAATATAGTTTCTTAGTTCACTGTCTGTCCCTGTCTGGAATAAAAGATCCACGAGGACAGGGAATGTTCTCTTTGTTTACTCTTTTATGCATAGTGCCTAGAAGAGTGCCTGGCACATAGTAGGTTCTCAATAAATATTTGTTGAGTGACGGACTAACTAAAATATTATCAGATAGAAAGAGTGAATTTAATGGCATCTTCTTGGGAAATGCTGTCTTGTGCTTTGATTCAAACACTTATTTTCAAAGGGACAGGGAGTAGACAGACACAAGGTGGAGAAACTGTGGATTAACTAGGGATAATTGTATTACTCTCCTATGTTGTACAGTAGCTCATATAGGTTAGTGATCAGAAACTCTTCCCAAGGTTGGTTGATTATTTTAGATATTCAAAAATAATTTTTAAAAATTTACTTGGAAAGAAGTCTGCTGATTATGTCACACTGCTTCTAAGCAAAAATAAACTATAGTCCCATTGGGAAACACTTACCAGATCTTCGATCGCTGAGGATTTTCAGTGTATTCCAATGAACAACACATGGGCTTTGGAGTGTGCAAGTCCTAAATTCAAATCACATCGCTACCACCAAGGAGCCCTATTACCCTGGGCAAACTGCTTAACCTGCTGGGCCCTAAGTTTCCCTCACATTAAAATGGATATAACCATACTTATATTGCTGTTACAAGAACTAAATGTTGAAAGGACTAAATAAGAAAACATGTGGAAATATCTAAAAAGAGATGATACTCCCTTTTTATTTGATGGGGTTATTCTTCTTAACTCAAAGTTCCAGCCAATTTAGAATGATCTCTGAACCATTCTAAATCATGTGCTTCTTATCTATAAATGGTTGTATCCTCTCATACGAGTCTCTGTGTATGTACATATATATGTGTCTAGACACATACAATGCTTAAAATTAGGACTCTGCCTGAGTATGCATTAAAAAAAGAGAAACACACAATTGTCATAAGGATGGTTCTTCCATTTCTTCATTGATTTATAAAAATAGTGTATTTTTTACAGTGAGCATGTATTAGTTACATAACCAAGAAAAAAAACATTGCTAATTTCATTATGGAAAAGCCATTTCTTAGAATAAAAAGAAAGAAACCTTCATTTACCCACACCATATTTTCCATGCTGAGTATGTCATATCTTCAACTTTCAATCACACAAAGCTATAGAAGGTAAACAGATTTATGGAGGACAAAGCAAAATGCGCATTAAATGGGAGAATACATATCTTAAGAACATCTGTTAAAAATATATTTTAAAATGTCCACTTTCCACACTTTGATTTACCCAGAAATATTCATCAGAAGGAAGTGAGAATATAAACATGGGAACCGCATTTGTTTGGTTTTAAAATGATTCTTCAAAACCAATACAAATCCATCAATTCAAGGCATTTCTTCTAACCTTAAGTCAATAAAAATGCAGTGTATTTAGATTTTGGTTGTGTTTACAGTCCCTAGGAAAAGGTCTCACTCAGAGTCAAACATGCACAACCTGGCAGAAAGGAAAGTTACAGGGCAGCTGTGCAGACACAAAGACTCACCTGGACCTTGACTGACATCTGTGGCAGCATTTTCAAGAAGGGGGAAAGGGAGAGGAGAGAAAGGGAGAGAAAAAAGGAAGAAGAGTGTTAGCAGCACACACACGCAATGCAATGTGCGCTTGCATGACTATCAAGTTCATGCAAGGTCCCAAAAGTGATCAGCTGCTGAGCACTTAGTTCTACCTTCACCCAAAAACCACCCATGCAAGCTGAGGGGCCAAGCTCCCTGTTCACTGTGCATGTAGCAAGAGAGATGAGCTTCACATCTGTCCGGAAAGACAACATCCTGGAATCAGATAGGGCTCCAAAGGGCTGAGCAGACTGGAATCCTGCAAGAATATCAGTTAAAATATTCTGATTGATTTCTGCATACCAATGCCCAAGCAAATCCCCCTCCCCTCCAGATACAGAACACTGGACATGGAGTCAAGGAAGGTTTCCCAGTAGAGAGAAAAAAATAATAATAAATCACTCTGTTGAGGAACAAAGAAAAAGAGGCATAAGAATTAAGAGCCAGTTGCAGCATTGTTCATCACATAGGACTGAAGGACACAGATCACAGAACATTCATAATTCTCTCCCTCCCCAGTATTCCCAATGACCTTTCTTCATCACAGACAGCAGTGTGTGCACGTGGGATTGAGTGTGAGTAGATCATTTGCCTGACATTGAAATTCTGCCTGCTCCTTTAATTTCTCTCTTTGCTTTCACTCCATCATTAATGACAGGAATTGCCATTTGAAATCACTTTTGATATCTACAAATAAACACCCAGCCGTGGGAAGGTAGATCTTTGAATTAAGCCAATAAACTTTCAGAAATGAAAAACAGTTCACTCCCATCGTCTCCATGAACATCTCCTCCTTCTACCCTCAAATGTGAAACAGAATCATGCTAGAGAAGCCAAACTAAGAGCAGCCCAGAGCATTGTTAAAACCCCTGGACCCAATCCTGAGGTTATGCTACAGCCAAGGAGAAAGAACAAGGTTATTTCCGGAAACCACTGGCCATTTGGGTGATCCTGGGTGACTGATTGGCTTGGAATCACTGAATGGTGAATTTGGGATGTCTGTGAACATTATCTACTTTACTCTTTTTTGTTAAGATGGAGGATGAGAAACATGGCTAAGGTCACACAAGTAGTTCAGAGAGAGAGCCTAGAAAAGACCCTAGATGTTTTGAATCCCACCCAGCTCACCATTCATTCAAGTGAAACCCAAGTCACTCGAGGGAATTATGAAAACCAAATTCAGTTTGCAAGCCAAATGAGCACCCTGAAGCCAGAAGGGAGCTGGGTGAATGCCTACCAGCTACCCCTTGAGTGGGTTATGGGTTATCCTCTGTGCCTCTAATTTGCTGCCATTAGATTTGTCAAGTTCCAAGAAGTTCCTTAGGGCTCTTGCCCCAGAAAAATCCAGGCACCAACCTAACAGAATTGTGCCTCAGCATCTGAGAGGAGCATGTTCATAGTAACAGCTGAGCATTTCTCCAACCTACACCCTATATTCCCTAAAAGCAGTATTTGCCCAAAGAGACTTCTAGAGAGCACTGACTCATTCCTCAGCCACATCCCCTTTCAAGTTTTCTGATGAGTTATTAGATTTAGGGGTGGAATGGCAGGGGGAGGAAGAAAAGAGGCAAAATAGAAGAGATGAGAAGAGAAAACATTCTGCATAAATAACTAAGCAGGGCCATTAACTATGTCTGATGGCTTGCCTAGGATAGCAATTGTTAAAATACCCCTTCATTAAACAGGATATCAAATTATTTATGTGTGGTAGAGTTCAGTGGTAGGAGTGTCAACACCATCATTCATTGAAACATGTTCTTTAGGGGCACCAAGACCCAAGGGAGACAGGATGCGTCAGAAACCCAAAATTCTTCCAATACTAAGTTGTCCATTTGGGCATTGTGGTTACAATCCTAAATTTCAGAGACAGACAGGTCTGGGTTCAGCTCCCAGCCTGCTCAATGGCCTTGGGTCAATCACTGAACTCTCTCTGAGTCCTTTCCTCAGCTTAAAACAGAGAGAAAACAGAGCCTCCCTCATGGCAGTGTTATGAGAATTAAATGAGATTAAATACTTGTAAAGCACTTAACTCTGTACAAGGCAAACACTATAAATGGTAGTTGCTCTGATTATTATCATTTTGAATTACCACAGACAGAATTACTAAAAAATGTTGACCAGATGGCTCCCTGGAAATGCCAGGAGACCACAGGAATTAAACTGTATTTCTTTTGGTGATTTAGGTTCGACTCTTCTATTTGTGAGTGAAAACCTCTTGGCTTCCCTTCCTCTGGGTGGTCTCTCCCCCCTCCCCTTTCCTCAGGAGGAAGTGGGGCCAGAGGGAGCTAGCAAGTTCTGGGTGAGCATTAGCAGAAGACAAAACAAACCCCAATCTTATATCTTGTGTTTCCCTTCCTCAAACTTTAATTTGGCTCAGTTCTAGTCGTATGCATAAAAAATGACCACCAAGAAACCCCCACTTTAACGAGGGGTCGGGATCCAAATTCATCTTCAGCTGTGGCATCAAGCTAGAGGTAGTTCTGAGGGTTCTGTCCAGTTTGAGGAACAGAGAGACACTATACCATCTGATTTACCTGAGTCTCTGCATTCAGTCTGACCAGCAGAAAGAAATGACGAAGGTAGGAGTGGAATGGGCAGGGGGATGGGCAGTGGGGTGGGCACAGGGTGGGGAACAGAACTTCAACAGTATTCATCTACTGTATTGTCTGACAAGCATCATTTTCTCCTTTTTATAGCAAGCCCCAGTTGTCTTCTTGGGACCCCCCCCCGTTCCTACCCTTAATCCATATGGCTTGGTAGAGATGACCACTACCCCCACCTTAGCTCCAAAGACAGGCATGTGACACAGACAAGGTCATGAGAATTCACAGCTAGTGCAGTTTCCTTATCCATAAAGCGGGTGTGATAATAGTTCCTACCTTCCAAGGTTGTTGTAGGAGCTTAGAAGAGTACCTAACATATGGAAAGCCCTCCGTCAATGTTAGCTGGTAATTTGGTTACCTTCATATAGGAGGGGATAAGAATATTTTTTAAAAACCACCCCAAGCTTTCTGATGGTCACACAGCAAGGCAGTCTGTCCCAGAATGCAGCTGGGGTGGTTTGGACTCCATGCCTTGCTGCCTTCTGTTTCCAAGGGAATCACCCCTCGAGTGCCCTCTGTCTGTAGCTGCTGTTGATATACAGTCTGAGGTCTGTGTTTGAGAGAGCAGCACTGAGCCCCAGAACTGGCAAGAGGCAATGTGTGTGTGCAGGGGGGGGGGTGTGTGTGTGTGTGTGTGTGTGTGTGTGTGTGTGTGTGTGTGTGTGTACATAAATTTTTAAATAGATTAGAAAGTGGGGGAAAATTGGAGAAGCAGAGGCAGTTGACAACCAGATGTGACTGATTCAGGGGAGATGGCATCCTCAGCCCTGCCAGCCCTTTTCTGCTCCCTCCTGCTGTTTGATTTTCTCACACTGCTGGGCCTGTAGTTTTCCAGAGTGCCACAGCATGTAAATCTATATTCTATTTTCTCTCCTAGAAAATAGGTCAGACCCAAGGCAGAGTTCACCGGGTGGGGTCCCGGAAGGTTTGGCTGGGCCTTGCCTGCAGGAGGCAGCCTGCTCCATGCTTCCCAAAGCTCCTCCAGGGATTTGGGGGTGTGTGGAAGTGGCAAGTGGAGGGTATCTCAGGCTCCTGCCTCTTGAGATGTTCGAGTCCAAATGAAGGGTGACGGAAAGGCTCCCCAGGCTAAGCTATACTCTGCAAGTGCAACAGTGGCAGATGGAGGGTCCTCCCCCCACCAAACCCCGACTCCCAGGCCTGCAGTTAGAAAAAGCAGATCTCCCCAAACTGCAAGAAATTGTTCCTTTGAACTTTAAAATAACCATGCTGATCATCCACACTTGTGGCCGAAGTTGTTGAAGACGCTGTAAGTGTCTGTGGGGTACTGAGTGGAGGTAGGAATGTAAGAAGGCCCCGATTTACTTCTTCTCGGGTCATGAAGGCAAAGGGTGGTGGAAGCTTTAAAATCCTTCCTTTTCTGGGTTGCCTCCCTGCCCCTCGTCTGAGCATGACATTCCTAAGAGAGAGGTGGCTGCAGTCTGGGGCAGGATTTGTTTTCATCAGGATTTTTCCCCCTAGGTTTTTTTGTTTGTTTGTTTGTTTGTTGTTGTTTTTTTTGAGTACCTGCCATCCACCCAGGTCAGTGTAAATGCCAAACCTAAGGATGGGAAAGGAAAGATGCCCTGTTACGTGAGCCAGTCCTCAGTCATGCTCTGATGGCAGTAGAAGCAACTAACACTAATTGAGCAGGCCCTGCCTAGAGCCTGTGCCTTTGCTGTTGCCCTGCCTGAACAGTCTTTGTCAGGCATATGTAAAACTGTTCCTCACTTTCTTCAGGTTTCAGCTCAGATACAACTTCCCCAGAAAGGCCTCTTCAACCACCTTTTTGAAAATAGGGACCCTCCTCCACCCCTTACTCTGTTTCTCCTTTCATCATGGCCCTAATCACTATTTGACATTACATGCTGGGTCCATGTTTTTATTTTTTATATCCCCCCATTAAATCACAAGTTTTATGAGAAAAGAAGTATCATCTGCTTTATTAAACACTTGTATGCCCAGAGTTCAAGCAGGGTCTGGCCTCTAACAGGTGTTCGTCAATATGTGTTGAATAGTGACTAGTTCATCTCAATTGATACAATTCACTGAGATAGATTCCATTAGTATCTCCATTTACACATGAGACAACTGAGGCTCAGAGAAGTCAAGGCACATCCCTGTGCACAGAGGGGCAGAGCTAGGATGGACTCTGGGTCTAGCTTCACCCCCTTACTACATGGAGAAAGCCTGTTTTCTTTGCTTTTGGCCTCATTACCATGTGGGCTGTCTCCAGGGGATAATAAAGATGAAACCTGGCAGCTCTAGAGAAAAGAGAGCAGCCTATTTCCTGATCATTCCAGAAAAATTTCTGGGGAAGTCTCCTTCAGTTTGGCTGAGGTCACATG